TCAAACGTTGAGATCTTCTCAAATGGCGACAGTTTCAGAGTGTGTCCGAACTCTTTCATAAACTTTATCCACATCTCAACGCCATTCACGCCTTCCTTATCGGTCTCGATATAGACCTCGACATCAAAGCCGAGGCCAACGATGAGGTCTTTCCAGGTCTGGTTCACTACAAACACACATTTGTGGCCAAACTGTGTTAGACTCTGTGCTAACCCTAAGCACGCGTTCACGTGTCCGAACGCATCCAACGGCACGAAACAGATTTTGTATGTTTTCGTTGACATCTCTTATGAAAATTTTTTGCTTATTTGAAGTACAAATTAAAATATTTTGTATTTACTTAAATGTAAACTTTTATATATACAGGAAAACGTTGATTGTCTGATTAAAAGCTGTTTATAACGATATCAATCAATAAAGAATATAGCCTTCAAATAGAGTTACCAGATGTCCATTTTTATAATGGATTTTCCATTTTAAAATTGTCTGGCCCAGTGTCCAGTGCAGGGGCACAAATTAACATTAAAGTGTCCATTTTTGAGAGTTTTGAACGAATATGCATTAATTTGTCCAGTTTTTGTCTATTTATAAGGTAGATTTTATGCTGAAAATCCATTTGTGTCAAAATTCATCTACAGTAGTAACCTTCAAAGCACATTACGATTCAATATTTAGTATTTTAGTTTAAATTAATGACAAGAATTCAATCAATTTGCGATTAATTTGAGTATAAATTTTATTCACGCTTTAATCATTTGTATTGATTACACAAATGTTAGGATTTTTACTTAAAACGTTATGAAATGCACTCAAAAAAGATTGTAAAGTACAAAAATAATAAGAAGACACTGATTGATAATAACACATAAGTTAATCTGCATTACAATATCAAAAAATACAAACACTTGACGTTAAAAACTTGTAAATTTTTATTATATAATTATGGTTGTGTTAATTAATACCGATAGTAATAACAATTACACAATTGCAGTCTGCAGTATAGCATTACTACTCTTTTAATCCATTGAACTAAATGTTTAATTTATAAGGATTAAAGTGAATATAAAAATGTATAATTATTTACAAAATAATAGCAAAGGATTGAAATGGGTTTCTGAGTGTTGAGTCGTAACAAATGAATTCAACACAACATTGTGTTTATAAAATGATTACAGAATCTCGTTATGTGTCTGAAGGTTAAGCTAACGGTCCGATCGATATACAGAAAAATCAATATTTTGGGTAAAATGTATCAACAATTTACAGCACTTTTAGCGACAATACTTTCTTTAACTTAAATATATAGTAAATAGAGAAATGAGATTATTACTAATATAGATTGTTAATGTTAATTTTATTATAATAACTTAACCAAAAAATTATCCTGCTCAAAATAATTTTAAAATCAGAGAATTTTAAATATTATATAATAACAATGTATGGCATTTATTATATGCTATAAAATTGAATATGTATTCAATACGATTGATTCAATACAATTCACATTATTTGTGCCCCAAATTCCTTCTCTGCAATCACTTAACAAAATATAAGAATTAACCCATTTTTCAAATAAGTAAAACTCAAATTAATTGTGATTTAGTTAAGCAGTGCTTAAAGACTGATAAATTTTACTGTACATGTAAATACAGTAAAATTTGTTTTATCTCAAATAATTTGGACTATTTAAAAATATTTATCATTAATAAATTATTAACATTAAGAATAAATACTTGTTATAAAAGTGTTGGCTAACACCAGGAGTCGCCTGATTATGCAATACAATTGACAATACAGTGTCACAAATTGTAATTCACAATCAATAGCTTTATTTTAGAATAATGTACAGAATACAAAAATGCCTCAAGGTTGTAATTGTATTAACCTAGTACTTTATAGCATATTATACAATATTTAATTTTAATTGATGAGTTTGTGATACCGCTAAGATTAGTTGAGTAATTATACGTTTCTTATAAACAGCAAATTTAAAAATGTTTAGTTTGAAATAAAATCAAATCTGTGTAAATTACTAAAGTATATTGTAAATTGTACTTGATAACAATAACTTGAAATTCTATAGTGCTAAACCATTCTTGTTATATAGTGAATTAAGATGGTTATCATACATTTAACTTGGCCAGAATAAATTATCTTGATTTTCAGTTTTTATTATTTATAAATTGATTGCTTTTAATTGATAATAAATCAATAAATATTTATATTTTTATACTTAATTCAATAATTAGTCCATATTTTAAATTTAAAAAAAAGATTGCAAATATTTTTCTCACACTTTATCTAAATTAAAGTCCAGTTATAATCACTGTACTACTGTTGGGCAAAATGGGGACACTTATTGAAAATTTATCTCAAATAATCACTAATTTATTAACGGCTTCATTGATTTAGATTAAGCCGTGTCTGGACTTTAGATCCAATTTTAATCGCAATCAACTTTGTTTATCACTTTATTTATTTATTAGTAATATAATTGTTGCGTAAGTTTTTAAAACTATTTAAAACTATATTGACTAATTATAAATTCAAAAAAAAAAATCTAAAAATCTAATTATAAAAAACAGTTTGTGAAATGTTTGCAATAAAAATATATAATTAAGTGCAAAAAAGTACAATTAAAGACTATTAATCTTATTTGAATATAAAATTTTATTTGTATAAATATTTTTATTACTGATAATTATTTATAAACACAGAGATCTTTGTAATGCGATTTCGGCGATAGATTTATAGCTGAAATAACTTCCCGTAGAAATGAATATATGAAACCACATATGAGAGTGAAATAAATCACATTTTCCTATAAAAAATCGTTCGGGAATTCGTGTGGCGTAGAGGACGGCACCCGTCATATAACAGACATTCATTATTGTCATCAACTGTACTGAATATGGCGTTTGCAATGTATTGTCGGCCGAAAACCAATGCATTTGCGGCACAATTGACGAAAAGCCAAACAAAAAGAAGATAATAGACCTCAATATGCGGTAAAAAGAGGCACTTCTGTTGAAGAATGGCATTGTGTTGACAATCAGACAAATAACACAGAAAACGGTGATAAAAGTGGTGAATGTCTTGAATCGGTATTCATCGCAATAGAAGATGAAATAACTTAAACCCAGATTATTGCCGAACGTATGTATAGTAATACCGATGTAATCGAGTTTCGCGACCGTCGCTGCCGTCCCTTCAGAATGACAGAGAAATGTGTGAAATATAGACGAACTATAAAATGAGAAAATAGTTCCCAAATAAACCAATGTATAGACAAAACGGTCCTCTGTTTTGGTCATGTGTTCGGGAAAGTAGTTCATAAAGATATAGTTAAAGAAGAGAGCGGCCAACACATGGGACCAGATGTTTGTGGTCTGATTGTGGACTCGAAATATAGACCAAAGACACAATTCGTACGAATGGAGAGCCGGTCTATAGTATGAGCGCAAGAATTCATTGTCTTTCATCCATTCGGGCAGTTCTTCCCATGAAATCAGTTTCCAATTCAATAGTGATTTGCCATTTGAATGCCATTCCGATATGTTTTGTGCACTTTTTTCGCCTCTCTTTCTCTGAGTCGTTGTATTGTGTTTGCTGTCAAAGGATGCGATTATTTCCGAGCTTTTCGTTTCCATTATATCTCAAAATGACTTTCGATATAAACATTAAATTTATAATTAATATAATTATTCCTTATTTTGTTTCATAAAAAACGATATTAAAAGTCGTTTTTTAATTAAATGTAATTTTACGATAACTTCCTTTTATTAATAATAAAAATTTAAAATGTTTTTTATATTATTAACTCTCGTTTGACGTCAGCTTTGAACGCAAATATCACTTTTTTGGTCACTTTTTCAATAGTCTTTGGTTGTTTTAAATACCGGTATTATTCATAAAAACTATATTTATATACAGTAATAGTACTGTTTATTTAATTATATGAACACTATTTGAGTACAATATTCGGACTTTGAAACCAAATATAAATTTTTAAATTTTAAAATCAATTATTAAGTGATAATCCAATCACAGACTTGATGAACTCTTCAAATAACTTGTGTTAACACTTTTTCATATATTAAATACAGTTTAGATATTTAGTTATCGTAACTGTAAATGAGAATCAAATGGATTATATTAATAGTTATATTGCATTTGATTTGTTTATTTACTGATAAATTAATAAATGTTATGTTTTTAATTTAACACTTGTTTATAACGTTTACTAATGCTTTGTTATACTTTATATTAAATTTAATATTCAACAATATTTATAATTGCAACAATTAATATTAAATAGTTTATCATGTTTATTGAAACTAAAGTATAGAGTAGAATGTATAAAACACTGAAATATTAAAATGATCAATTAAAATGTTTGAAATTTAAACTCAATATTCTCTAAAATGAACAAAAAGTACTTTTAAATGATTTGATTGAAAAAGTTGATGAGATTTGAAGACAAGTGAAGCCCCGGGCCTTTACGCCATATGTGAGACATCATTGGATGACAACTTGTATTTCAAGGATATTTTTTAACACAAGAATTTCATAATACAAATGTAAATACTTTCACTATTTAACCAATTATTAAAAGAGGGTTTTTACTTATCATTCAACAAAATAAAGTTTGCGTACATTCAATTTGTACTCACTTTACCTTATTTTGTATATATTAATATTTACATATTTACAAATTACAATGCATTATAAGCTCATTTGATTTTCAGTCCTTATTGTGAGGATAAGTGTTTATATTTAGTTAATTGTGATGAGTATAATATAGTTTACTGCTTATGACTTGAATGCACACTTTACTGTGTAATCTAAATATATCCTAGCATTACATAGTAAATTACTTCATTATATTAATTAGCATACAACTAAATTTAGTAACAAGCATGTATACATTAGTTTTAAACTAAACTTATTTAATTTTCATTAATGTATTTTCATAACTCATACAATAATTCAATATGAAATTAACACAAAAAACTTTATTTTTATTTTGCAAATACATAATTGTTGTTAATTTGTAGTAAAAAATATCAACTTGCTAAAAAGTTGTGAATTATATGAACAGGCATTCAATTGAGTTTGCCATTAGAGGTGACATTGACAACAGCCCCTACAATAAAGCCGTGATCTACAGATACCTTCAGATTCTTGTGTTGAGATTTCTGCTCCACTTTCAACCCATATTTGGCTTTTTGTGAGGCGAGGATTTTGGTTTGGTTTTTACCCGCAATTTCCGGAATATCCATCAAATCTATAATTAAATAATAATAGTATAGTAAACACATATAATGTTTATTTTAGTTTTCTTTTAGACAATGTATTCCAGAATATGTTGTACGTTTGTTGCAAAATAAGTGATTTCTCAATAAGTTATATAACTTTTTTCTAAATATTATTTTGGACAAAACTAATTATAAAATTTATTTGAATATATCTATATAATAAAATAAAAAAGTTATTTTAAAACAATATAATCCCAATTGGCCGCTGGACTAAATCAAACACGACCGGCGTTGATTTTGAAATATAAGGTGCAGTTATCGTGTGTTAAAACTCCATTGAAAATAATATTTAACATTAAAAAGTATTAAGCGTTCAATTAATTTCTATGTTATTTAACTAAATTAACACCGATTTTTATCGTTTAAACGGCTGAGTGACAGGATAATAAATTCTAATTGTTATTTTGATAGTAATTATGCTAAATTATGTAGGATTTGGTTAAATTGTAATCAAAATTAGGCCTTGACTTATTTTTTCATTTATCTAACTTAATCCATATACAATTTATAAAAATTAAATAGTATAGTAATTAAAAGATACCTTGTGTGATATATTGTTTTAAACAGCGTTTATTAAGCTTTAATTTAATGTATAATTTAATAATATACGTTACGTATAACCCGTGAAAAAATTACGGCAAACCTAATCAAATGATAATCACTTATTTTGCAACATTCGTATACTTATTATAATTACAGTCACAGGGACTGAATTACACGCTGTCTAGTGTTTTTATGAGTCTAGAATCTAGATTCATGTTTCAAACTATTTCGTTATTTTTTTTATACTTTTCATACAATCATTCCGAACATCATATTTAGTTATATAAAGAAAAGTTTAATTAAAAAACGATAATATGCTTACATTCATCACTCAATCGTTGAAGAGATGCGTCAATTTCTGCCTCGACATCCATTTCGGACTTTCGGTTATAGTATTGAATGCCTTCATTGTCTTCCCTGTCGATCGTATAGAGAGCGACGGCTCCGACACCAAAGGCTGCGCTAATGTTCACGACTTTGCCGTTTCTCTCAACCGATACAAACCGAATGCCTTTAACTCCGACCGAAACTTTCAATTTATCGGTTTTGTCGATGTATTCGGAATTCATAGCATTTTTGCCGATATTATGCATGTGATGGAGGGGTGCGTTGGGGGCGCCGTTGTTGGACCCGTCACTCGGCATGTGATCCTTCTGTAGACTATATTTATATAACATAGCAATTGATTTAATGTTTAATAAAACAACATTTAGTGTTTAAAAATACTTTTGCATTATATTAGCGGCCAATTCGTGCAATTGTTTGTGTTCATCGTCTCCATTGACTGCCAGAACGGCACCACAAAAAGCAATTAAAACAATTAATTTAAACATTTTTAAAGACTTATGAAAGCAAATGGCAATTGAAAACTAATCAAATGATTGAATTTATGTTTATATTTATACTAAAATTTGATGAATAATATAATGATTATTAGACTGAAGGCTGAAATAACAAATATTTCAATCAGAATACGAAAACCAGATTAAATTTCAGTGACATATCATAAATGATTGTTTGCACACATTTTAACTCTTTTTATACTAATTATCTTCAATTCTTAAATCAAATTTATATAATTATTTCAATAAGAAAATACATCATTACACTATAATGATTGTACAACTATTTTTATATATCCAGTGCTTTGAGTACTTTAAACATTATTTACTTATAGTGTAAATAAAGTTTTACAAAAAATTTAAACATGCTATTAAATATATTGCAAGTATAAAGATATTAAAATGTATAGTGTTTTATGAATTAGTTTAGTAATATTCTATGTTTCAATTATTTAAAGTTATTTTGGATAAGAAATTTATTTCTCAGAAATTATATATTTTTACATTTGGTTAAAAAGAAGTTATATGTAACTGTCATTGGAGTTATTCTAACTATTTATATTATAATTTATAAATATGAGTTTTATCATGATAATTTTCAGTTTCATACTTATAATGAAATACATTAATTTTATAATCAAAATAAAAAGTGGAATAAATGGTCGCCAAAA